TTTAGACACAAATCATAATAAAGCAAATGAGGGGGTGGGGAGAGGGGGAAGGATTGTTATAGAGTGTTTCTCTCAACAGAAAGGAAGACAGCCACTTCTGCAGTGGGAATGGGCTCTTCCATCCTCCCAGAGCCCTTGTGCAGAACCTGCTGCACAACTTCACTTCCGAACCGTTCTGCAGGAACAGCAGGCACAAGGCAAACAGCAAGCTGAAACAAATACAGATTTCGCTCTCATTTGACGTGATGTACTACTATCAGCACGTGAAAAATCCTTTGATCAGGCTGTATTTCGAGACAACTTTGCAGAAGATGTATGAGGTTTGCACACGAAGCCAAGACCTGATGGCCCAGCACATCAGAAGTTATCACAAATCAAACCATTAGTAAGAAAATCTTATTCCGCAGCACTCTGTCTTCCTCTCTGATCCTCTGCATTTCTGCTCACACAAATCACAAATATAGCTGGCAGGCACTGGTTTACATTTGAAAAATTACTGCCATTCCTAAGACATGACGCAGCTGATTGTAACTCCACCACCACATGGTATTTCAACAAAGTAAATACTTCTTCATGACAAGAATAGTCCTACGCTCCGGTCCCTCCAGCAGGGAAAAATGTAATGGGTTTAAAAGGCCACTAATAACTATTAGGGTTAATTACCTGTCAGTTTACCAAAAAAATCTATTCAAAAAGAAAAAAATCCAACAAAATAAAAGATGATAGATTGAAACTCAAAGGCTGCTATGTGCCACAGCAACAAACAGTTCCTGTTGGTGATACATCGAGGGTATTTCAGCCATAGCAAGCAGCCACACTTCTTTTGGAACCAGAGCCATCCTCTTTCAAACAGCCACCCAGGTATCTGCGTACTTGAAAAGCAAAATGGGAATCCCTGGAACGGGACGTGGAGAAGCAGGGGATGCTCGGGAACTGAAGCTGCTCAAACGTTTCTCAACCTTCCCCTCCAAGCCCCTTGCCTTTAAAAATGCACCAGGTCAAAACACTTGCCACAGAGTGAATGAGCCACTTTGTTTAATTAGCTTCCCTTCCATCCAATATTTTATGACATTCTCTAAACAAAACATGACTCTGGTTTTACTCAGAGCCTATAAAGATTACTAAAATACAAACAACGCATTGATACACCTCATTGACCAGTGAAGTTTTTGTGGGCTCACAATAATATTTTAAGTCAGACATCTAACAATGTGTATAATCTCTCCATAGAGAGATCACAGGCAACAAACATTGCGTAAGCTTTCACTTGCTCCTTCTAAGCAGGACATCACAATTTGTGGCTTTCAGTGTTTTGCTGCAAGCTCCGAGTTTGTTGTTGGGTTGAAGCATTTTGTGGCACATGGAGTGAATGGTCCACTCTGGCCTCCAACTGCAGAGGACTGGCCACGATAATCTGCCTGGTCCTTCCCCAGTGCTACCATATAAGCTCTATGAAACGGCCACTACCCCAAAACAGGGTAAATTCACATTTCGAGAGGAAGTCACACCAGTGCACCCAGATGCCAGCCACCACCTTCACCAAAACGCAAGCTATTCTGGACCTCATTTCTCAGAGCTCTTTCAACAAAACTTCAGTTAATAATTTCTTATTCTGGAAGACCAGATCTATGGCTTGGCTGAACAACAGGTGCACACACAGATCAAACTACATAATTATAAACAAACACTTCACATCCTGTTAGTTCACAGTCAAAGGTGACATATAAAGCTTGTGTGTACCTGATGCATCATTACAGTCACCTGGAAACCATTCTGGCTGAAAACTCAGCACCTTTGATTTCTGAATTGGTTTTGAGCTGGGTCAGTTCCCTGACCTGGCTTACCAGGCTGCTATCGAAGCAATCAGAAGAAGGGGTGCCATTGCTTGTTCAGATGGCACTTTAGATTTACACCAGAGGAGCTTATGATTCCACAGACTCCAGATTGTCTCCTACTTGGTACTGAAATACAGTCTTTTCCAATCCACAAAGGACACTTACAGGTTAAGAACAGATGATGACTAAAGAAAGAATTGCTTTTACAACTGATGTGTAATACTTAAGTTGAAGTTAATGCAAGCCAGTGTTACTACCAGCAGAAAAAGAAAATAATTATATTGTTGATTCCTTATGCCCCAAGTTAATAATTTTAAAACAAGCAGACAATAAAAATCGTGGAGAGTCATTCAAGTATTCTTTCCTTCAGAGCACGCTGTTTTGACTGAAAAAGAGCCTGCATGAAAGGGATTCTGCAAATGACACCTTCTTGAGAGAGGCACTTCACCAAGAATAGGTTACTTCATTTCCTTTGGCCCAAAAACTGACCAGCTTTCAAGAAAGATAGTATCTTTTCTTCTCAAATTAGAGGTGAAGCATGCTGCAAGGAAGCTTTGTGAGACCCAAAAAAAGTCCTGTTGCTTAAAGAGGCAAGACGTCACCCATCAGATGATCAGCAGTGTTTTCGTCCCTTCACAAGGCTGAAGCTTCCAAAATCCCATCTGTTTCTGGGTTGAAAAATTCATTGCAAGTGAGAAACTCAAGCCATTTGTCTCTCACGTATGCTTCCCTAAAAATGCTACAATTTCCAGTCTTGCACTCCCTGCTGTCTGCCATTTCCAACTCAGCCCATACGCCATCTGCGTTACCCATGCTAAAGGTAGTCTCCAGGTTTAACCAACTGAGGACAGAACTAGAAGGCAGCAAATGAGTTTGAACCCACAATCAACAAATCCCTAGGATATAATCTAGGACATAAACCATTCTGAACTGGAATGCAGAAATCAGAGAAGTGACATTGAATCACATTGTCTACTTCTCGGAATTTCTTACCGTGTTGGTATGATTTACAGGGTTGGGTTTAAAATAAATGCAAGTAGTGCTATATTAGTTCCCGAAGCACCAATTAAGAACAGGCACAACGTGTGTTCTTTCTGAAAAGAATGAACTTGTATCTTTACACTTCACAATTATCACCTTACCCACGCTACCAGTGAACCAAAGTTGTTACCATCTAATGGCCTGTATCGCACAAATCAGCACCATTACCCTCGTTACAACCACTTTCATAACTGGTACTAAGAGGCACCGTGGTCAGCAGGCAGATTAATGGCCAAGAAGCTCGCGCTTGCTTCCCTTTCAATCCTCATCAACTTCTTCAAATCAAGCACAAAAGCAATGAGGGCTGGTACCTCAGTGCAAAGCTTGAGCACAGGACATGGTGCAATAGCAGACAGGAAACCAGCAAGTCTGCAAACCTCAAATTGACAAAATTACGATTCCGTTAATGCCATGTATCAAACACTGCCTGACAAAGCTCATCATGGCATAAATAATTCTGTTTACTGCATGTGGGTTAACCCTGCCAGTTCTTGTTGCGAATTAAAAGCAAGAGCTGAAACGTTACAGGCTCTGTGCCAGCTTGGTCTGTGTGTCTGCATACAGGGGAAATCAGTATCTTTTTCACACAGCTGTCTGAAAACACAGGAGTAAGGAGATACTTCCCACGCTTTTTCATTGGTAATGTAAGGGAAGAGGCAGTTCTTCCCTCCATCCTGCTTACAAGGCAGTGCCCTTTCTGGGAGAGGAGCTGTCATGATCAGCAGTCGGCTCAAGCCAACACAAAAACTCACCCCGGAAGCTAATGAAAAGCACAGGAGTGCCTCTGATTCATCCCACTGCCCAAGGCCATTCTGGAGGTAGAAGAGTCTTGCTCAAAGGTGTGCTTAAGAAAACCCCACCACAATCTAGCACAGCCAATCATATCAGCATTACGTTTCACTTCACTATAATACCAAAATTTTTAATTTCCTAATGCTCAGAGTAATCTCACCAAGTCATACCTATAGGCTCCCATACAGAACAGCCCATAATAGCCTGGGCTGTAGCCTACACAGAAAGAAACAAAGTTCAGGGCGTACAATACTCCACACCCTCCCAGTTACCAGAGCAGAAACTAGATAAGGTTGTGCAGCGTATAATATCTCTGAAGCTTAAGCCACAGCCCTGCAAGAAGTGGGCTGCCTCTCTGCAATCAAGTGGCTAACTTATTTCAAATTCACTCTGTGAAGAATTGTGCAGGATGAGGTTTTTCCCCTTTAAACTCATGGACTGAACTTGAACGAACCACCTCATGGGAGCTGGGGCAATTAATACTTTGCAAGCATGAAATTAAAATTTTTTCTCACATCAAGAAGTCTACCATGGAACACAAGGGGCACAGAAGATCAGTCTTCATTAAAATAAACTATCAGAAGTTGTTTGTGTCATTAGTGGTTTCCTGCCTGTTGTTCTCTGCCTAATTCTCACAAGCAACCTCAAAATTCTGTGGTTTTCAATTTGTCAAACTCTCAAGAAACGGAGAACTTATCAGTGACACCATTGGTTATGCTTCTCCTAGAGAAAAGCAAGCCAGCATCTAACAATCTCCTTTTAAAGATGAAGGGGAGGACAGGGCAGAAGGTACAAGGTTTCAAGCTTTCACCATTCCTCAACCTATATCAAGATTTCCACCCCCTGCAAAGATGCCACCCACAGCCCCAAATTCACATCGTATCCTGTCACCACTTTTTCTATCAACATCTTCATATTTGCTGCTGTGTTACGAGCACTCCTCACTGCAAAACATGCTGGAGAGGCAAAATGACAAAGGTCAGTCGCGAACTTGCAGAAACCCAGAGCTCCCAGGGTGTGAGCTGGACACACACCGCTGCCTTCATCCCGAGGGGTTCAAAGAGTGAACACCCGCTGCTGGAACCTGAAAGTGGAAGAGAGCACGAACTGGGAAAAAGGAAAAAAAAAAAAAAAAAAGAAAAAAAAGAAGAAAGTGCGTGGAGGAGAAGCGAGCGCCGGGTGCGGGAAAGAAAAGGACTGACTGCAGCCGGGGGAAGCGAAGGGACGTGCGGTGCGGGGAAGCGGAGCGCCGGGATGCGGGGAGCGGGACGCGGCTCCCGGGGAACGGGGGGCACGGCTCCCGGGGCCGGGGGTGTCCGAGCTGGCACTCACCGACCCCGTACTTCTCCCGCTTGGTGGGGATCCAGCGGGCCATGCCGGCGGCCCC